TTGTTGTTGTTGTTGTTGTTGTTGTTGTTGTTGTTGTTGTTGTTGTTATAAAGGTTAAATAAAAAATAAAATATAGTATTTATGTGAAAGCAGTGTGGTTAATAAATTATTATTATTACTCTAAAAAAGTAAAGTCTGGTCCTCTGGACATTCAAAAAACAAAACACAAAAGTAGAAACGTTTCATACTTTTTTGTTTGTTTTGTTTTTCGAATGTCCAGAGGACCAGACTTTACTTTTTTAGATTTTTTTACTTAGATTATTGAGCATGCATCCAGATATTATTATTATTATTAATTTAATTTTAATTTTTGCTCCTTTGACTTTAGGCACAAGACCCTCAGGTGCTGGAACAACTGTCCAAAAACATCACTCGCATGGGTTTGACCAACTTCACCCTCAACTACCTCAGGGTAAGTTCTGTGTGTATGGGGTAGGGGTGGGGGGGGGACGTCTACGTCTGTCTGCATTTGTTTGAGTTCTGATCTCATCACAGTGAGGAGCAGTTGTCAGGTTTCTAAATGCACAAACTTTATTTTTTTATTAGAATAAACCAGGGCTGTTCAACTGGAGGCCCGCGGGCCACTTCTGGCCCACAGGTGACTTCAGTCCGGCCCACCAATAAGTTCATAAAATATAATTTAAAAAATCGTGTGTGTTCTGGGTTTTGTTTATTGCATTTTAGATTCAATGCATCAAAATAAACAAATGTTAAAGGTAACAAATTGTAATACTTGTTTTATTGACATAATGACTTCAGTTGCTGGATGTCCGGCCCCTGAGCTGCTGGCTCTCAGTGCCTGTGGCCCCCGGAGCAATTTAGATGAACAGCCCGGGACTGAACCATCAACCCTCTTACCATGAACTTACTAACACACTTTTCATGCACTCCAGCTTTTTAACATTTACTCTAACAGCCTCTCTGGACCGACTCTAAAGGTGTATTCATATTTATAGGTATTTGAGTGTGTGCGTGCGTGCGTGCGTGCGTGCGTGCGTGCGTGCGTGCGTGCGTGCGTGTGTGTTTGTGTAAATCTGTGATTTGTAAAAATGAATTGCCTTCAGGGTATTAATGTAACTGTCTAAATCTGACTTGATTCAGTCATTTATGTTTTTATTAAGAGGAGAATAATATAATATATTAATAACAATATATATATATATATTAAAAATTTACCCAGTTACAACAAATGTTAAATATAATTTCCTAATACTATTTATACAATAAACTATATTTTACAGAATATAGTAGAGAAAACTAAGAAATCAGTATTTGGTTTTACAAAAGATTAAATATCTAACTTAACTGGGGATTAAAATGTAAAGGTACATTTTTGTGAAGATGATAATGTATTTAAGATGAGGGAATTTACTATTTCTGTTTTTTAGGGGGAAAGGTTTAGTATAGATGACTATTGTTTACTTTTTTTTAATTGTTGTTGTAGTAGTTATCCAGCCATCCATCCATTAATAGTTTTTTTAATTTAAATGTAATTTTTAGACGGTGTAACGTTTGTATTCTGTTAAATATTCATGCTTTGTCGTGTTCAATGTTCTCCTCGTCAATCTGCATTTCATGCTCTGCATTGAAGCTCTCGGGGTTTTTAATGTTAAATTTATTTTCCACATCTATTTTGTTCTTTCTTGAATCCACTTCTCGTTTTTCCTTTTTATTGTGCACCAATTTAAATATTTTTTGTGTGTGTCATTTTAACAGTACGTCTAAAATTATGTAAAGAACAATCCTTTTTAACTTTAAAATATACATAAAGTTTATTTAATTTATAAAATGCTATAAAAATTGAGCCTATTGAAGACGTTCATTAATATTTCACAGTTTTGTTTGTGTTCTTCAATCCAAGCAGTTGACTGACAGCTGCAATTTCCAAACAGGGGAACAAGAAGGAGCCGAGGAGAGGAAAGAATTAATTGGATACAGAAAATTAGCATAACGTTAATGAACGCTCCCTGTTGAGACTCATAATTGTGAAATGGCGTGAATCAGCGAACGGTCCCTCCACTGCTTTTTATAACCAAGTGCAGAGGAACACGGAGACGGGGCGAGGGAGTGGGCTTTTGTTTTTCCACAACAAAGATTTTCTTCACAGAAGTCGGTTCTGTAGGTTTCCCTCTTCCTCGCTCTTCATCACCCAGAGGCGGAGCGATAACGCTTCTGTCCCTGTCTGTTAGCAAAACATCTCATTGACCACTGGATTAATTGTAATGATACTTTCAGAAAGTAATCATCAAGTTTACATCTACAATTATTTAGTTTTCAACTCCATCCAGTTCAAAATGGCTGCCACAGCTAAGTGATTTCAAATAACACAAACTTGCTAAAAATGTGACAATTTTACAAATGTTGAGCTAAAACTTGGTAAAGTAGTAGCTGAGCATCATCTTCAACAAATACTCTGAGCTCAACACATTTTTTTTAAAAACCTTGGCACTAACTGTTGTAGTCAATTTTGTTTGTCTGTTAGCAAAATATTTTATGAACCACTTAACATATTTCAGTGAAACTCTCAGAGAATAATAATTAAATGTACTTCTACAGCTGATAATAACTTAGTCGACCTGATTTAAGATGGCCGCCAGAGCTTAATGATCCTGGCTTACATAAAAATGGTTTTATCTCTATCAGTTGTGCATATATTCTGCTAAAATTTGACGTGGTAGTAGGTGACAGTTATTCACAATACATACTCTAACTGCATTTAAATTATACAAGAGTTTATGAAATTGTGCAAATTTTTCTTGCAAGGTTTATAATAAGTACCATCAATAATGCATTTTATTTATTGGGGCTTCTCAACAGATTCAACGACGCCACATAAGAACAGACGGATACGACAATTGAACAGATTACACTTAAACCAATCAAATAAACAAAATAAATAAATCAAAATATCAAACATGTCATAGCTTTGATGAAACAAACAGTTTTGTGGGACTGGTTAGTGGGATGAGTTAGTTTAAAACAGTGGTTCCCAACCCTGGTCCCTGAGGAACACCTCCTGCATGTTTCAGTTGTTCCTCTGGTTCAACATGCCTGATTTGAATGAATGGATGATTAACAGGTTTCTGACGAACTTTAGGAAGTAGTAATTAAACCAGAATAATCAGGTATGTTGGAGCAGAGAAAACTAAAACATGCAGGATGGTGTTCCGCAAGGACCAGTGTTGGGAACCACTGAATTCAAACTGTAGACAAAGGGTGATGGATGGAAACTGGAAGAGAACTGCTCTCAGGTTAATTGTGGACAGGTTGGCTGATGGATGGAGAGCTGGAAAGCAGAGATGGAGAGTTTGAGATGATAAGTAAGGTAGGAGCATTTCAGGGTGATGTGGAGGAACAAGACGATGGAGAGCCTTGAAAAGAGGTGAATGATCCGCTACAGCTATTAGGCTTTAAATTCTTCTTATTCTGATGGTCCGGAGTTGAGAAAAGAAAAATCTTTATGCTTCACTTCCTGATGACGCACATTTAAATGCAGAAATTAAAGCGGTTGTTTTCAAACATCTCCTGAAATTGTGTGTATTTTGTAATTTTCCAATCAACATTTTATTCTGTTTTGAACGCTCCTGGTAGTTTGCGTGATCATTTCTTTCTATCTGGAGGTCTGGATCTTCTGGCTCGGAAACACAGATGTGTGCTTGCTGTTTTTCAGCAGCTTGCAAATTATATTTTCTGCCGCTCTTATCAGAGCTTGTCAAGGTAAAATATACCCTTTCCTCACGTTAAAGCAGCAATAATGTGTCTCTGGAAAAGGCTTTTCCAGTGGTTATCAGCCCTTCCAAAAGAGACGGACAGTTTCCTGGCTGAGGGCTAGAACTGGCCTTTCTCTCAAACACACACTCTTTCTTTTCCGCTGGTCGTGTTTAAGCCTTTCCATGTGTCGGAGCCGCTGACTTCCTACTATTCAGCCTGAAAATAGCCCTTGTTTTCAGGCAGAGAGCCAGGGCTTGTTGGCTGAGCCGGGGAGGGATATTACTGTGTCAGGAGGGAACTATCAGAGGAGAACACTGGATTAGTCTGCCACAGGGATGTTCACTTTTCCTCTAGCGGCAAAGCATCAAAACAGGGGGAAAGCAGCGTGCATTGCTGTGTTTATGTGGGGTAATTTAGCGTAAGCAGCTGACTCCGTGGTTGTTTTAAACCTGGAGAGCATCCATCACTTCTGCTAGGATTCCCAATGTTGTCTAGCAAGTTGTAAAATGCCTCCGAAGCTGTTGCACAAATAGCAGTAGGTGTGCTTCACATGATGCGTCTTCCAAATGTTCTCTGTGGTCCCTTTGATTCTGCTGTGCACGCCGTCTCCAGATGAAAATAACACGTTGATTAGAATTGATATCAGAAAAGTAGGAGAGGTGGGGAACTGAAGGTCAGATGAGATCATTTGAGCATGCAGCGCATGATTAACAGTCTCCTTTCTCTCAGTAATGATTATGAGCGTGCCCTTGAGCAACTTAGTAAACTCACGCCTCCTGTCACCGCAGTAGTTTTCATCTTCCATTTGCATAGTTAACCGTGCAGTCGATGAAGCTGCAGAGGCCTGCGCCAATCACTCCACGCTCATAAACTGAGCTGTGGATGTTTCAAATACTCTGTGTACCGTTTGGGGAGATTTTCCAGCAAATAGTTGCAGGAGATGGCAACTTTTTTATCTGCTGAAGAAGCCAAACCCAACCAGAGGTTGTAGGGATTGGAAAAAGGAGTGCGAGGGTTTCAACTCTGACAGCTGGTGGATGGATTCATAAAAGGAGCGCCAACAAAGTTGATCATGAGGAGGGCTGCTAGAAAATAAAATAAAAACTGAATTAAAATAAGTTTAGGTATGTATGCAAGATTCAAGATGCTTCACTGAGAATGGCGTGTGTACAAGTACACAATACAAGTACCGCACAGTAACGTATATCCTGACCCACTCATGGGCTGTGCAAATAAAGAAAATAATGACCAAGCAGTACGCCAGTGTCCCCGTCGCTAAGAGATTTGAATAGTGAATGTTTGTAGTTTTAGAGATGAGTGTTTTTCCAGAGCTGGAATTGAAGAGGGAATACAAATGAACCTTAATGTTTTTTGTGCAAGATATTCAGAGGGGTAGGAGTGAACAAGGTAGGAGTTGCACAGTGTAGAAGAATAAAGGGGGGTTGTTTTTGTGTTTTTTTGCTAGTATGAGATCAGGCACAATGGTGGAGCTAGGGGGTGGCCAGTGGTGGCCTTGGCCACTTTCCAACATGCAGCTGAACAGAAATGTTCGTTTTAAAATCTAATCCAACAAAGGACCATTCTGCTCCTCTCCTTGTTTTATTTTATTTATTTATTTGTTTTGGCTATGTTGGTCACACAAAGCAAAAAAGTGAAAATAAATAAAATAAATAAAAAGCTAATAATTGAATCACATATATGCAATTTAATATTTTTATTTATTGTAGTAAAACACTAAACCTAACACAAACAGTTTTATTTAGACAGTTAAACTGGGCGTCTTACTTGGAGTTTGATTCCATTAATCTCTTCTGTGACCGGTTTAGTGAAGACGGGCTCATAGCTGCCAATTCCTCTCCAACAATCATCTGCTCCTGAATAAAACGAGCTGAACAGCTGGTGACGTAATCCAGATGTGTGGATTAGTTAATCCTGATGTATTTAATATGACAGCTGGTTCATCTCAGATTTAGTTTTCTCCAGGTTTTATTAGGACTAAAAGAAAAAAAAAAAGTTTTAACAGAGACTGTCCTGAGGGTTCAAGACAAACCTGCGTCTACATAAATAAGTATTTTATAACATGTAACGATCTAAGAATTGTTGCTCTTTAATAGCTTTTTATTATTTACTATGTAGCATCGTGTTCATCTTTCTCTGTGAATCTATGTTTTGGTTGCAGTTAAAACATGAACTTTCTATATAGATTCTCAAAAATCACATTGTGGATCATACAGTTGTAGTCAGAAGTTTACATACACTTATAAAGAACGTAAATGTCTTTCTTTTTTACATTACATGAAAAAATTCAGTTGTTCTTTTATGTATGTATAGAATGATTATAAAACATTTACAGTACATCTTTAAATTTACCCATACACTCACTATAAATGTCCCTTCCTTAGTTACATCTTAACCACACTCTTTCAGGGATGAAGATGTTCACATCCTGGACAGAGAGGAACGATGGTTTGAGAGAGGAGTGAAGGAGGCCATCTTTGTGAAGAGAAACTGTCAATCATTAAACAGGGGCGGAGCCTCCGTGTCCAACTGTCCCCCTCTTACAATGCTGTTATTGCTAGTATAACTCAGCCCTCTGTGAATAGCAAGCGGCCATCATGGCACTAACGATCGGTCGTTAGGCTGATGGTCCTCTGGATGTCAGCAGCAAACTGGTTGATCCACCTTGAGAAGGTGCTATTTATAAGACTGAGTTTGTCGCAGCTCCTCAGACTGAAGGTCTTTTGAATAAAAGACTAAATATTTCAACAAAGAAGAATCCATCCAGAAGACCTGACTCAACCTTGTTAGACAAATCAGTGAAGTGCTACACTGTTTGATCGTTCCACCAGGAGTGGTTTGATTCGAGTCCATATAAACCTCTGACTGAAATATGTATCAAGAAAGTTTGTCTTTTTTACTTGGTTGTTCTGCTGTGATAAAAACAGTTACCAGTGTTGTGTCTGCAGCTGTGCGTCATCCTGGAGCCGATGCAGGAGCTCATGTCACGGCACAAGACCTACAACCTCAGCCCCCGGGACTGTCTCAAGACATGCCTCTTCCAGAAATGGCAGAGAATGGTGGCTCCACCAGGTAACGACCTCCACGTTCATCAGTAAACTCCAGAACCATAAGAAACGAGTACGACTGAAAGAACTTTCTCTTTCAATACATATATTAATTTCAGAATTACTTCAGAACATTAAAAACGGTGTAAATAGAAAGATGTTTGCCTTAAAACAACTTTTTAATTCCAGCCTGCCCCTCACTTTGGAAGAATTTAACATTTTCTCTCAGTCTGTTTTTATTGCATCATTTACGTTTCCAAATTTGTCATTATACATTATAATCCCTGAAGTATGTCAGGTGTATGAAATAATCAGAATTCAGCCTGCCTCTTGAATCTCAACCCTGCCAATCTTACAGGCCTCTCAGCCGCCGGTGATTGATGTTCGTACGGTGGTTTCTGAAAAGTACCGGGCTTAAATTGGCTGTGCGGTCTTAAGCCGGAGAGGGAGTAAGCCGAGCTTCTTTTTTTTGGGGGGGGACACATTGGAGTGGCTGCAAATTGCAGCAGTGCTTAGCAAAGCGTGACGAGATGTCTTTAAAAACCAACACCAGTCAAAAAGCCTTTGACTCAGACCTGTGTAACTTTAATTAAGAGTGCCGGCTATAATCAGACGAGTAGATCCAGCTCCCCCGGCCAGAGGCTCCCCAGCGTTGATGACATTCTTCAAAGATAAAAAAAACAACACAGTTTGTGTGAGAGAGGAAAAAAGAACATTTTATGAATATATAACGACTTTTTGTTCATTATTTGTGCTCAAGGAATAAGCTGAGAGAAAACTCTTTATGGATGATGGTGTTTTATCTTTATCTAAGATAATGTGCAGCTATTTAGTTTTATACGGCTCCTCAGAGAGTTGATCTGTTATATAAAAAAAAAGGTTATTTCTCGTCATTTATCTATATTTTGACACACGTGTTGACCTATCCATGCAGTTTAGCTGAAATTGAGCTTTTCCTTATTGGTGGTGTGTTATTCTCCTCTTCCTGCGATTCTTCTCCAGTTTGGAAACTGGTTGGGATTTTGCCAGGAAGGAAGCCACGGGTGTATTTATGTTTTAATGAGTTCTTTTGGTGGAAATGAAAGCGATTTTAGTGCGTCACCGGCTCAGCGTTGAAGGAAACCGGTGGGATAACAGAAATGATTGACTCTCACAATAGCCCTATTTTTATTGTGGGGTTTTTTTACGCACACGTCTGTCAAGTCGGGAATCAAACATGAAGAGATTCTGATAAAACGTCCGTTTCATTGTTTAGCCTTGGATTTACAGTTTCAGTTTTGTTTGTATCATAATGTGCTGATTGTTGCAGCTGAACGTGAGAACATCTCCCTCAGAAGATCATTGTCAGACGTGTGGTGAAGATCTTAGCCGGGTCTCTCTTCACATGAAAAGGAATAATGTTTTCCAACAAATGTCGACAGGATTTACAAAACCTTGTATTCATAAATTATGTACGGAAATTCTTTTGTAGAAACACGTGAAAGACTTTAATCACTTAAATCTTTATTTAACCCTTGTTCGTATTTATTATCTTAACGGCTCAAACTGTGATTTATTTGCACCTTTACTTACGTTTGGAAAAAAAATCAACAAAAGTTCACGTTTGTGTTTCTTCCTGTTTTCACCACTGATCTCCTTCGGCTTTTAACTTGTTTAAGAACTCATTCCATAAAATTAAAAACTGATTTCCGCTCCGCTTTCAGCTGGACACCCGCAGAACTTCAAAACAGAAATATTTCCCACAAATCACAAAAAAGGTATCTTTCTTACGCTGCTTTCTGTCCAAAGTCCTGCATGGCAGCTCGGGTGCTCTTTGGACTGGACTGACATACATTTTTACGTGCACGCTCATCATGGATGCTCAGAGGACTGTTAACAGTGTGTCATGTGGTTTGCATGTTTCAGCTAGGCCTGTCACGATAACACATTTTGCTGGGCGATTAATTGTCTCAGAAATTATTGTGATAAACGATAATATTGTTTGTCAAATTTAAGAAGAAATGTCGTTTAATTTTGTGTGTAGTACCCTTTTTGACCACTGGATGGCAGTATAAGACTGTTTGAACCGAATGATGGATAGTGAGGGAGCGAGCAGCGCGTCTCTTTAAGAAAAATGGGAGGGATGCCCCTTGACGTGACATGGGCTGTCTCTCAAAACATCTTTTTAGACGAATGCACAAGTTTCAACCGTGAATTTTGGAACTTTGACAAGTCTGTTTTTTTCCCGAGGTCAGCCTGTTAGCTTAGCTCGTAGCTTAGCTTCTCAGCTTAGCTGCTTTTAACGATCCAAAAACGCAATTTCGGACGGTTAAACCAGATCTTAAAGAGAAAGCGAGGGGCCAGTGAAGAGCACCTGAGCCTTTTGTCATCCAGTGTCTTCAGTAGAAAGAGAGAGACATTAAGAAACGATAAAGCTGATAAATGAAAATGATCAACCTCATTTTCATTTATCATGCGATTAATTGATTTATTGTTTATCGCGACGGGCCTAGTTACAGCCTGCCTATAGAACACAGTAAAGAAAACTACAAGACAAACGTGCACAGTATACAAGTATGTTCAGGATTCTGAACCTTTGCAGAGCAGCTTTAGTTTGGTTCTGTTGAGAAACATCGTCCCGTTAAACATCAGGGTTCGTTGTTGAGCATTTATGCAAATGAAACGCGGCTCTTTAACGCTTGTGTGGCTTCGCCTCTGCAGACAAAGCATGCATTGCTGTTGTATAGAAACTCTAACATGCCTGCGTCACTGTGTGTGTTCTCTGCATGCATTTTGCAGTATTTAAACATCGTGATCTATTTTTCTGCATGTTTCTTACGTGTTTTTTCTCACATGCACGCACTGCGCACACCCGTACACCTTGCCTCCGTCTGTATGCGTTATGTTCTCGGCCTCTGTTTCTCTTTGCTGGTCGCGCCAAAGCTGAGCCTGCCCGACAGACGACCACGAAGAGGAGGAAACGGAAGAACTCGAACAGCAGCGCCAACAGCAGCGTGGGCACCGCCGCCGGCAAGAAGCGCAGTCCCGCCACCAACTTCAGCCTCTCCAGTCAGGTACCTGTAAGCATCAGCTCCTCTCGGTTTGCCTCTTTTATTTACTTTCTATTCATATTTAGCCATCACTTTTATCCAAAGTAGCTTTCAACGCAGCTTTAATTGTTTTGTGTACCTGCACTCGACTGTTTGCGGGGTTACAAACAAGCACCAGAAATTCCTAATGGGATCACAGCTATTAAAGTTTAATTTATTTGCACGAATGGAAGAAAGAGGCTCCAGTAGAAAGAGGTTAGAAAACGCACTGAAATGTGTGTGTGGTGGGACGAGGAAACCTCAGGGGACTTTTGTAAAAGCAAAAAGAAACGAGTGACACAAATGACATTATGAATGATCAAAGCAGCAAATACTACAAAAAACATTTTTAAAGGAAATGAAGGAAGTCAATTAAAGAGTAGCTCTGCTGCAGGTTGTTTTGTCATTAACTATCGTTCCTCCTCTTTAATGTTCTCCCTGTAATTCTGAGTCGTTCTTATCGGAACATATATGTTTACAAGAACCCGTAGACCTGGTTGCTCATCCAGGCGGACATAGCCCGGAGGATGAAAAAAAAAGTTTGTCTCTGGAGCAAATGGAATTGTGTGGGCGGTTAAAGTGACACTTTGCCACTGAGCTGAGCATGCCTTTGAGCAAGGCAGTGAACTCAAACACTGCCCAAGAGGACTGGTGGCAAAATGCATCTTTACTCGGGTATCGTGTCAGGAGGAAAAGTTATGAAAATAAAATAAGTAAGATAAAAAAAGTTCCCATTTTAAAAAGTCATCTCCAGTTTCAACTGTTGGGTCGAGTAAATGTGGCGTGTGCGGGTTTGAATCCCTGAAGCAGGTGAGTCTGGTTCATACTGACGCTAATATGATTAATAGAAACACTAGTTTTATACAGTCTGTTTTATAAAATTAAACAAAAGATAAATAAAGGATTAAATAAACTTATGTACTTAAGTTTTTATAGGAAAGTTTATAGTTTAAGAATCAATTTATTTTGTAGCAAAAAGACAACAAAAAACAATTTAAACTAAGATGATTAAACCATCAACCATGTATTTATATAAAATGGAAATTGTTCAGTGAATCATACCTGTAAACTATATTTATAATTTTTAAGTTAAGTTATTTATTTGTGTTTTTTTGTTTGTTTTTGGTGGAGACATCATTTAGTTCCAAACCATCTTCCCAAGGAGGACAATAAAATATGATCCTTATCATAATAATCTAATCATATTGTATTAAGTTCAAGTCAATTTTATTGTCATTTCCATCACATGTGGTACATGAGGTGGAACGAAATGATTAATGTACACTGGGTCCCAGTTACACCCAAAAACAGCAAACTATAAAGTATAAAAATAACCTAAATAAGGATCTAAGATATACACTAAACGAACGCCAAATAGTGTATTAATATATAATAGATCAATATAATATGAAATATGATAGATTATATCAGTTATCAACATAATAATAATAATTATATAATTAGATCTTGTCTCAGCGTTTTAAATAACACCACAAATAGCATATAACGATGACATAACACTTTTTTTTTTTGTTATACAAACCTAAATGTAGTCGATGCAAACTGTAAAAACAAAAATAAAAGGCTACCCTGAACTCTAACAAATGCTGCTGTATGAAATAAATAAATCATGAAGTTTTCCAGATATACTGATCTGCAGTTTTGAAATGCAGGTACACACTCAATGTAAACAAAGCTCTTTAAACCGCTTACTTTATTCAACAAATCTTAGATTAAACACGTTCCAGTACATCAAAATAACATCCCATAACTTCCTTGGATGTCTCCTTTGTTGACTTATTTTCAGTCACTTCGGCTGTTTCTGTCGGTAAACAAACACATCTGATAGTAGGCGTTCATAAAGTTTCCTCACTTTTTTTTTTTTAAATTAAGGCACAATAACCATTAATATAATAACAATATTGTGCAGTTTGTTTATTACTTGATGATTTTATTTTATTTTTTACAGTTCTCCATGTTGTCACAATTAAATGACGGTACCATACGTTGAAAACTAAAAGACCAATTAGCAATTTTTTTAGGTTTTATTCATGATTACTTTTTTTAATTTAACTGGTTTTAAATAATAATAAGTTAAAAAAAACTTTAAGTTGAAGTTTAGTCTCTAAAGAAATAAGCAACTTACTGTATTATGGCATTTAAAATTATTATTTTTAATGTAAACAGGTGAACAGATGTTTTGTGTTGACGGCGTCTACACATTGGCATTAGAAGTATTTTTAATGTGTGTGGGGGGTGGGGGGTACACTGGTGGGGGGACTGGGGACCTTGCCCATAAAATTTTTAATAATGTAGATGCCATTTCCTGCATTCTGGTATATTTTAGCGGGTTGTTAAACATACGTTTACCTGCATAAGTAAACTCTTGACTCAACTATTTTAGAGAGCACGACACAACAAGTAGCCTGACCAACAGCTCTCCTCGTGTGAATAGAGACCACGGTGAAGTTGGTTTCTTCTGTCACGCAACCTAAATGTCTTTAAAACCCCACAACTGAATTTCCACAAACATGGTGAGAAACACGCTTTAAATGTCTGGAATCGAAGTAAAACGATCCTAGGTGAAATGTTGCTTTTTGTACATTTTTCACCTTTAAACAGGGGTCATACACAAATACAGCCCAGCTGTGAAGGTTGTTGTAATCGAGCACTCTGGATTTGAGTGAGAGTAAGGTTTCCAACCACAGTCCCCCACCCCGGTCAACAACTGCCAGCACTAAGTAGCGCTAGCTAGCATGCAACACAGAGGTGTCTCCATACTCCATATGGGTGTCTCAATATGTCTGTGGGTGTCACCCCCTGCGCCCTGTCAAGTGATCAAGGAGAAACACTGCATGCTGGGTGGTGAGTTGTTCTAGGTAACCAGGAAAACCCGGAGTGGATTTTAGTGGTTTGAGTATTCTCCTGTTACCGTAATCAAGTGGAATGGATTCGTTCACGAAGAAATAGAAACTGCGCTGGGTAAACTGATATTTCATGGTAAATGTGTGTGCGTGTGTGTGTGTGGGGGGGGGTGTCCAAATTGATATTTACCAAATGTGAGGGGGACACGGCCCCCTAACATATAATTGTTGCAACGCCTACAGTAACGGTTAGGATGTTATGATTAAACAAATGTAAAAAACAATTAAACATCATTTTTTACATCTTGTCTTGTAGTTTGTTTCAGGGTCAAAATGACTGGTTTGGCTACATGTCTTTGTAAAAGGTTGCCCAACATACTTAAAGGTTAAACAGCCTCCTAAGCAGCCAGGCTCTCCCCTTGAGGATTTGATGCTGTCTGCAGAGGCTCTATTCTTATACCATGCACTGCTCATTATACACACGCTGTATTACATTTACTCCACAGCATCCAATTTACTGTTGTGCTGCCGCACTCCGCTGTTCCTGAGCACACATCATTTCAGTGCAGCAGAAAAGGTGTGCTGATACCAAACATAAAAGAAATTTGTTCACATTAAAGGCTCTCTGGTTGGCATTAATGTTTTTTCATCAGCTTTAATTCAGTTTAATGAGAAATTTAAGGGGTGCTAATGGTTTTCTATACAGTGTGTACAGTACAGCTGTCCATCCTCCCTGAAATTATACCCATAATACTGTTAATTTGTTCCGAAAGACAATTTAATCTCGGCTTTGATTGTGCTCACCCAGGAAGTGTCTTTCGTAAGGAGTGGTGCGTGCACAAAAGAAGCAAAGTAGCTGGCGTTGGAGACAATTGGTGATCGTTTCAGTTTAATTTTTTCAGCAAAATCAATACTTTGATCCAACTTATACCAGGTCATTTAAGTTACCAAAAGTTACCTGTATTTAACAAAATATCTGTAGTATTTCAAAAGTGAATACAGACTGAAAAACAAATAAAACGCCTTTTAGGAATAGCCGCGAGTTAAACAGACACGTGTTTAAAAACCTGCGTTCCTTGAAGAATTGTTCTTCTAGTTTAATTTTTTTAGGTCTGAATAAGGAGCAAACTGCTGGTCACCTCCAGTTCGGATGGAGCTGTTCGTTTGCCTTTATTCCCTCCATCTCACACACACAACGTATATTTTGTGCACATACACACGCAGCAAATTGTTTTCTCTCTGAAAAGCAGCGTGGCTCTGTGCCAGCTCTCATTATCACCCATATCTGTATACAGCCTCCACCCCAGCCCCCTCCTCCTTCACATCCTCCCCCCCCAACACCACCACCTATCCACCCACACACATCAGCTGAATTCGGCTCATTCACCTGACAAGACAGGCAGCGTGGCTGGTAACTTGCTGCTTACATATGTTGTACGCCTGCTGTCTTTGTCTGAGAAGTTGTTCGTTTGTGGCTGAACACAAGCCTACGTGAGTCTAATAATAATGAGTGGACCCTCGCCTCAGTGAGGGGTGGGTGGGGGGGTTACCAGAGGTAAGAGGAAGAAGGAAGGTGGTTGGTGGGTGTTTGTGGAGCGAGCAACATGGACCTCTGGTGGTCAGACTGGAGGATTTGCACTAATGAGGTTTTCACCAGACTCTAATGCCCCTTTTCCACTGTCACAGAGCGGATCAGATCAGTTCGGGTTGGTTCAGATCGGTTCGGGTCTGTTGTGTTTCCATGTACATTTCTGGACCAGCTCTGTAGGCGGGGACTAGAATCCAACTCGTCTTACCACCTGGTGGCGGTAGTGCTCCCTTAAGCTACTTACTAGCCACCACCAAACGTATTAGAAGAAGAACACCCTGAAGGTTTTGTCACACGATGTTGTGGAAAAGATGTCATGCTCTAATGGAGCACCTCATGAGCTGTAACTTTAGACCTGATTCATAATCCTACCTTACTGCCTTCCCTGCTGCTTTAAACCCATGTGTTTTTCATTTTAGTATAGATTTTTACAATAAAGATGTATTAAAAATATCTTCACTTTTATTATTTGCAGATATGCACAAGGTTCATGTTAAAATTGCAAAACATCACACTGTGCTGTAATCTTTGAAACTGCT